TTTTTTTTCTTTTCTCCCTTCCTTCTTCCTCCTAACACGTCCTTCTGCATGTGCTCGACTTCTGGCGCGTCCGATTCCTTCAGCATTAAAGCAGCTAGCAAAAACGCGGTAATTAAAAATGAAGAATTTTAAGCCGCGGAAGTGGGACGCAGTGAATGCCCTTGGGTATAGCAGTTTTTTCCTTTCCCCGGTAAACGCTATTTCCACTACTTCTTTCGGGAATTTTGATTTTAAGACCAAAATAAGAGTATGTCTGTGCGGCTTCGTTGGTTCTGGGAATTTTGAGGTTTATATCGTTTATGCCAAGATCAGAGCACTGCTGCAGTGCCAGGTTTTATCGTTATAAAACGTACTGACGCCAGATTGCTGATCGTTTGGTGGAGGATTTCGACATACTGTCTTGTGATATTCTCCCTCCAAAAAGCAAATGGAGAAGTAAGGATCCCAAAATAGATTCACTTTCTTCTCTGGGATTGTCTTTGTCTTGCTTTGTTCTGCTCTGAATCAGCTGCAGGGCTGTTGGTGCAGTGTATCTCTTTGTTAGAAATCACCACCAGCTTTCATTAAGAGAGTAAACAATTAGCAGCCCTACTTCTTCTGAGGGGCTGATCTTTTAACAATAAATTAAGTAGCTCTGGGATGCCTTTGCACCGGGGGTATTTTTGCTGTGTAATTCATAATGTCATTGTCTTAATAAAAAGTCTTTACGTTCGGGAGTACTGCCATAAATGATGAAATGTGATGTAAGAGCATGACTATGTGAAGTATTGAGCATCCCACTCTCGTTGGTAGGACGGAATTGGCATAAAATGTCGTCTTTGCTAGATCGAATCTGCTATAAATGCAAATGCAATTAAAAATGTATGGTGCTGCTCATCAAGCATTAATCTTCTGTTTCAGGTATCGTTAATATTCTGCAGCATTACCTCACTTTCAGCTTGTGAAACTTTATAAAAATGTTAATTCTCTGCTAGAATTGCAATATTACTATTAAAGGAACATGTCTTATAGCTGCGGTTACCTGAATCAGGGTTTCTTGATGTCCCATGGAACATAAAGCAGATGGCGATGACGCTGGAGGTGATCCGCCCGGCGAGGATGCGGCCAGAAGTGATGGCCGGCACTGGGATGAGTCTGGGCTTGGAGCAGTGCTGAGAGGGCTTGGGGAGAGGATTGTAGTGGAGCTCCATCCCCATTCCACTCCTAGCAGCTCTCTGGCCATCCACCTCCATTTCTGCCAGCTGCAATGGACAAGAGCTTTGCCAACTGCCCCAGGCCTCTGTTGGGCTCGGTTAGGGAGAGGCAGGTGTGGCTGAGCTAGGAAAAAAACGGGAGCAGAGCTGAGAGGACTATGATGCCAGTGCGGCTCCCGTACTGCTTCCTGCTCTAGCCACCCCCTTCGAAGTGCGTCCCCTTCTGTGCTTACTCCTGTTCCTGCCTGCATGTCCTCTAAATCAGGACGTATTTTGGAGGGCCAGAACGCAGGAAGCAGTAGGAGGGGATAGGAAGCACTTTACGGAGACGTGTGGAGAATTTTTTTTTTTTTAAACAATGGCTAAGTTGAAACAAATGTGTGCATTTGAATGTTGAAATCCAATACTTAATACAGCGAGCCTTCCAGCAAGAACTGAAATATACCAGCAGAGATGTGATTGCATGGTTATGGATTTGAGTTTGTACTGTATCTTTCTGAAAAACTTCGATAGAGTGAAAGTAGTCTGTAACGAATACTGTAAGAACTATAAATTTTAGTAAAATTGCCTATAATACCAACTCCAGATGCTTGTTTTTAACGTAGTAGTTCCTTAAAAAAAATTTCTTTCCATTAGCACCTGTACTAGAATTTGACTATCTCATCTGTGGAGACTGTGGCAAAGAATTCATGGATTCCTACCTAATGCAGCACTTTGATTGGGCAACGTGTGATAATTGCAGGTATTACAAATAACCAGGAGAGGGAAGCTTTATTTTATGTAAAGATTGCTGGCTATAGTTTAGTTAATTACGATCATTCTATTTAATTAAAAATGCTGTCAGCAAAGACGTTTTTCAGTAACTTAATACATACTGAAAAAGTAAAGAAGCTGACTGATGACCTGAGTTTTCTGCCATGGAAGTGAAAACCAGCATTGTCTCATGAGACTGTCCTAGGGGACATGAGTAGATTTTCACATAACGTTATGGAAACGTGTCTTGAGAGCCTTTGGTGTGTTTGTCAGTGTGGAAGTTAATGTCTAGTTGCAGACTTAGAGCTATTTAAAAAACTGATAGAGTATGGGCTGTCTGCTTTCTGAAGTGGAGCGGGGATTAGGAGTGTTTGCTATCCCGGTGAATTAACCCGAGTAAAGTTGGTACTTTGGTCAGCATGAGTGGGCTGGGAGCGTGGCAGCCAAAGGGCAGAACCCCCACCGGAGGTTATGGGTTGACCTGCAGGGTAAGCAGGAGTTTGACCTTGAGCAGAAGGCAATCTTTACACACAGAGAAACCGGCTCCAAAAGCCATCGAGATAACCAGCGCAATTAAACGACGAAGCAGCCAGCCACCCGAGTGTAAGGATGAATGGATGAATGGGGGGGGGGGGGGGGAAGCCACTCGCAGCCAGTTTGTTCTGAGAACTTCCTCGTTTACTACAGGCAGCGGTGAGAGGTGTGCACGTGGTGTGGGCAGTTCACAGTCATTAGAGACAAAGTGCTGTCTCTTGAAGGTGAGACGAGTGGAAAAAGGATGTTAAGGAGCAGGCTCGGAGCCTTAGGAGTGGTTTTCTTTCGGATTAAGTAGCTCTTGTGGCTGAACGTTTCTAGAGATCCCTCAGTGCATTAGCTTTTACTGTGAACTTTGAATTCTAGTAAAGCTGCATTTATAGCAGTACTTCCTTGATGACTGTTGCTAGCACTTACCGTTCAGCAGATTGTTCCGGCTCGAGCAATTCAAGTTATACTTCAGTCAGGATTGCGTAAATGTAATTTTTTTCATTAACTCATAAATGCTGCTGTGGTTACGCATTTTTTTTATTATATGTCTGGTAAAAGCTACGATATTTTAAGGTCTTTATTTTACCATTGGTCTGCCTGCTGCCTATTTAGAAACAAGTACTCTGTCACTGATCTCTTTCTGGGATCTAGCAGCAGCATATGGAGCGTGTATATTCTCAGGTGATCTGACCTGTCTCACATTACACATTCTTTCTCTCCTGACCATGTGTCAGGCTTATAACTTTTGTCCTCTTGAATTGCATCTGGGTTAGGTGAATACCTAAAATTATTCATACTGCTTTTAAGTTTCAGTTTCTTTCCTTCTTGTAAGAAAACAGAAGGAAAGCCCTTGTAGAAAATCAGGCTTCTCAGCTTGTGTTTGCTCAAATGGGAGAATTTTTAGACTTAATTTCAGAAAACCTATCCTGGAGTTTAGCTGGATTGTTGGATTGCAAAGTTAATTGCATGTATTAGGAACTGAGAGGATGAGGGTTGCCTGTATTTCAGGAATGTTAGAAGTGGTGGTGACTTAGATGTTAATAATGTGGTTTTTGGTGTAGCTTTCTCAATAATTTTTCATCTTTCAGAGATGCTGAAGATAAACACAAGCTTATAACAAGGACAGAAGCAAAAGAAGAGTATCTTCTTAAAGACTGTGACTTGGACAAGAGGGAACCAGTGCTCAGATTCATTGTGAAGAAAAACCCTCACAATTCACGGTGGGGTGACATGAAACTTTATTTAAAACTACAGGTATAGAAACTGTTAGTGTATTTTTTGGTTTCGTACAACTCTGGTAGCAGAAATGTGTCACTTAAGTGCTGATTCCTGAATGATTTTGTCAAAGCTAAGTATATTACACATAGCTTGTGTAAATTTTGCTCTATAGTAAAAGAGCCAGTTGGGTGGCTGGAAAGGCAAGTAGATTTTCTTGTTATTTCTTGTTTGCTACTTTTATAGGAATGCTGCTGCTTCAGTTGAGTATGCACAAAATTAAGAGCTGGGTGTGACTTTCTGAGTAAGTTACACCTAGCTGATACTGAAAATCAATGTTGCCTCTGACTATGGAAGGAATGCCATGTTTGTGGTTCGGAAGCACAGAGACAGATGGGAGGCAGAGACAAGATTGGGTTGACTTGTTTGTGTGCAGGGAAAAAATTAAATTTGTGAGTTAGAATAGTTTATTTTTATCATTTCAGGGGAAAAAGAAACACATTTATGTCCATCCTGTAGGTAATCAAGCGTTCTCTTGAAGTCTGGGGAAGTGAAGAATCATTGCAAGAAGCAAAGGAACTCCGCCGTGACAGCAGAGAGAAGATGAAGCAGAAGAAGTTTGATAAGAAAGTTAAAGGTAAGGAACTAAACTTTCATATTGGAGTACCTGAAGTAAAATACAGTCCTGTGTGAATTTGTTTCTGCATCTGATTAAAGTATTTAGAAAATTTTCAGTGTGGCAAAATGAATGTTTTCAAGGGCTGTGTGGGTAAACCCGGAGCAGACTGGTCTGACCTCATAGCTGACTATTTTGGGCAGAGTATTGGACCGGACATCTGAGGTCCTTTCCAATCTGAATTACCCTGTTGTCCTGTGGACATGATGTAAGTGAGAGAGATCAATTATGACAGTTCATGATGGTGTTTAAGTTGTTTGGTATGGGTTAGAATGTGCTGTAGATTGTTCCTGTTACTTTTCCTGGCTTGCAGAGAACATGGATTTTTGTGGCAGTGGGTTATAATTCTGTCATACGTGTGCCTTCAGGTGGAGTGGTTGTAAATGAAGGTAGAAAAATGTCTTTTCCCAATGTTCCTGGTATTCCCAGCTGTTGTTTTACTGTTCATTATCCTTTTTTTTTTTTTTCCTGATAAAACTAGTATTTGGGAGAGTATTAAATGGGTAGAACTTTTGAAAAATACTTTGAGCACAGGCATGCTAGTAGTTTCAAAAAAAGATGGCATGTTTGTTTCTTTGGAAGAGCTGTGGCTTACCGTGTTGTCTGCGCTGCCTGTAGCATCCACGCTTTGCTTTGGGTCGGCTTTTTAGAGGCAGAAAGCTCAGGCAGGCTGTATTGTCTGGGGGAGGCAGAACGCGAGCCTGAGCAAATAACCCCTGTCTTGACCACTGGCGTTGAGCAGGCAGAGGGACTGGCAGCAGACTGTAGCCAAGGTGCCAGAGCGCCATGCAAGTACAGGCCTTAACGTGACGAAGTTGGCTTGGCTCAAAACGTGACTGCATTTTGCTGTTCGGTATGCTTGCCACCCACTTGCAACGTAGTATCCTGGGCTGAGCTGCCAGCTTGTGTGCTCTGGCAAACCCACTGGCTTCACGGTGGCTGCTGCAGAGGCAACTCGCGGTATTGGGCATAAAGCTTAGAGAATGCCAAGTCATTTGGGAGGCTAACTGTGACCTGAATGAAAAGTACTCTTTATTGGTCATGTAAAACAATGAGGTGTTTTATAAAAAGTTTTCCTCTGCATTCCACCTACCCCTTTTGGATACCTTTGAATGGCTCTGTGTAAAAAAGCGTTAGGCAACACGTACTTAGCACAGATGGAAAATCTTCTCCTGTGAGATCTCATGTCCGTGCAGTTCTTAGCCTTTAAAATATGCAAACAAGGTGAAGATTGCAAGGCAAGTCAAAGCTTGTTCTTGCAACAGCAGATTCTCGCCCAAAATTCATGGAAGGCAGGCAACAAGCACATTGTCAACTCCTCAGAAAGGCAGTTAGCTTGAGTTTTATTAAGCGCTATTTAAGATTTTTTTTAAATCTTAAAACTTTCTTATGTTTCTCATCAGAACTCCGCCGTGCTGTCAGGAGTAGTTTGTGGAAGAAAGAGGCTAATATCCATGAACATGAGTATGGACCAGAAGAAAACATTGATGAAGATACATATAAAAAGACATGTACTGTATGTGGCCATGAATTAACTTATGAGAAAATGTAGTGTTATCCTGATTTTTTTATTTAATGATCTTTTTAATGGTAAATATTAAAGTCAAATAAATGCTAATTATGAATAAGTGTTGCTGAGTTCTGTGAAGAATGGTGTTCCTTGGTTGTAAGCTCTACAGAACAGTAAGCTTTGGCGTTTAACCTAGATCATTGGGTAGAACATCGCCCATTTTTAGTGGTTCAATAAAGTGTACCTTGTACACAAAAAGAAAAGTTAGTGTCATGCTGCTTCATATGCTGATGAAATTAAGGTGAACTTGCCTGCTTCTGTTAGAGGAGGAAGGCTCCTTACTTTGTCTTAACTTGTCTAGTTTCCGGTTACTGTTGTCATGGGTGGGCAGAGGGCAAGGAGCTGATGAAGCACCTCTAGTGGGTGGAAAATGTGTTGTGAGGCAGGTTCTCCTGCTTGGGAGTTGGAGACTTAACTCCATTAAAGGAGAATTCCCTCAAAAGGAAAGCTGCCTGCTCCTGGGGAGGCTATGACACCTCTCTACCATGTTTTGCAGGGGAGAGTCATTAGGTGTATTTTCTACTGCTTTTCTCCCAAGTTTTGGACCAGGGACCAAGCTGATTCTTGCAGTGCAACTTCATCCTTTTTTACAAATTTCTGACAAATACCTGTTACTCGGGGAGGGGGTTGAAGTAGCATTTCAAGGTAGATCTAAGTGCACCCAAGTTACGTTTGCTTTCAGTAGAGGGTGGATTTATTTTCAAGTTCAAATTTCAAATCGTGGGTTCTTACAGCTGTTGGGGAATGCTTGTGGAAATGGCTGAAGGGAAGGAACATGCTCCAGGCAGCTGCTCTGCATTTGTTCACCATTGTAAGTAGGGCGGATCTTGGTGAAGTCTCTGGAGACCACTTAGGGGAGTCTGGGCCACTGTGGCTGTGCAGAACTGAAATGTTACAGGAGGAGAGGTGTCAGACTAGCAGTCCTTCACCTTTCCAGTGCTCTGCCAGGGCCTGTGGCCCTACATTGCCTGCCTTCCCATCAAGCATGGGGGGCCTTGGGGCCCTGCATGGTCTAGGACCCTGGCAGGTGGAGGGGGATGGAGGGCAGGAGGCAGGTCCTGGCAGAGCTTTTGGAGGTAGTAGGCCTCCATCTGCATCACTATTCTGTGACCCAGTGCTGTCTTGGGTCCCAAACCTCTCCAGGGCAGCTGGGTGGTGTGTGCTGGCTGCCAAATTATTTACCTGTGGGCAGGCTGCAGCAGCCACCCCTCAGCATGCACCACTGGCGCACCCCTGCCTTGCCTCGGGCAGCAGCACCGCCCGGGAGAGGGAGAATTTCCACATCAGCTCTCTCCTGGCACCCACAGCAGCACACACATCACTTCTTGCCTCACTTGGCTGTACAGCTTGGGGGGAAACCTGTTTGATCAACCTGTAGTGCAAGGTGAAGGCTTGTGCGTTCGGGTACCAGCAACAGCATGGGGTAATGACACTGTACCAACCCCAGTTGCATTTAGCACCAGCGTAACCCTGCTGTGGCTCCTTGGCTTCAGGAGGCCCCCCAAAATAGGTAGAACAAACACTCCCAGTAGCAATCTGTTTCACCTTCATTTATTTTTGTCTTTAATTGTGCATTTTTACCAACCACATTTCTACAGCATCTTTACGCTATCCACCACCTTATGCTTCAGCAGTTCCAAGTTTCTCCAGTTAACTGCTGGTATCACTATGCAAGCATCTCCTTTGCTTTCCTACAGATCCAACCACTTTCCCAGTCAAATCAGGTGTATGTCACTGGACCTACAAAGAGGGGAAGGTTTCCAACAGACCCCAGAAATGTAATCAAAGTCCATGCTGACCATGGAAGTAAAATCAATTTTGAAAGACATTACTATTTGGTTTTAAATCATAGGATTATGCTCAGGCATTTGCAACTGGATCCCCAGCACCCGTATTTGTCAAGGCTCAGAGGAAGTTACAGGTTTGCAAGTCTTAACTGCAGTATCAGTTTTACAGAAGTCACATTTATAGTCAGACCCCCACCATTAGTTAATATCAGAACTCATATTGATGCGAGCCAGTGGGAAAAAAAACAAACGCTATTAAACCCCAATTAAAACTACAGTATTAAACATTTTTTTAAAAAAAAAAACCCAAACAACTATTTGATTACTCAAGAACATTAACAGAGAAAGACTGAAGCAGAAGTCTGTGTATGACTGACAGAACCCTTGCATAAAGCGAATTCACAACAATTAACAGTATACGCTGAAAGAATGGAGGGATCAGTCAAATCAGAAAGGGTAGGCTGAGAAAGCAGAAGTAACAGATCTAAGTCTATGAGGATGTATCAGATTGCTACAGGCCACACAAACTTTGGCCAATTAGTTCCATTTTTTTCACCCTCCTTGCTTCTTCAGGTCAATTGGTCAATGTATGGATGAAATGCATTACTAGGCATAATACTTGAAAAAATACTTTGCTTAAACTGAATAGCACTGGGTATGAAATTCTTTTAAACATTCATCTGCAAAATGAAGAGAACATAAACAGCTTGGAAATACACTGCACACTGATGGACCTGAGCACCTAAGGCAGCATCTTTGCCATTCATCACCGCTTACCGCAATACAGACCACTCTGGTTTGGCCTTTACATATGTAACGTTATTTGCATAACTCAAAACTAAGGCTACTCTATGTTCAGGTTGTGTTTCCCCAGTCTAACTCTCCTGTGAGACATCACTTAATTTAGCATCAAAATGCCTTCTGAAGACATGGGAGCCATGGGCTGCTGTCACATTTTAAAGCAAGGGAAGGGTAGCAGATGCAGCCACTGCAAACCAGTTTTTACCAAGCCAGGTGAGGCAAAGGCTCTCGGTTCATTCACCATCAGAAAGATTTCTGGGATGCAGGTCCAGCCCAGCGCAAGCTTGGCAGCCCCGTTACTTACAGGCTGAAATAAAGGAATTGCTGAATGCTGCCCTGCCCTCTCCCCTGGCATCTGGGGCTGGAGCTTCCAACACCCAGGTAAGGCTTGCAGTACAGAAGTTGAAAGTTTGTTCCACCAACTCTTGCTTACTCTATCTACCAGTGAAGACTGCTGCCAGGAACAGTTCCTGATTCTTCAGCTATACTGCAAAAAGGATTCCATTTTTCAGAAGCTGTCCATGAAGTTCCTCCACTGATCGTTTATAGCTACTGTAATAAGACACTAAACAATACATTAAAAAAACATGTTTCAATTGTATTACAACCATGTTCTTTCAAACTGTGAAAACCTCACTGGCTTGGTAATAAATCCATTTGCTCTATGCTACTCTGAAAGCTTAACTCAAGTGTTTCACATGCTTAAAGTTAAGACACTTTTCCTATGCCACACTGGGGAACCTAACCACACTGCTCACTGAGAAGGTGTGTTCCCTTTCATACTCACAAAACACTATGAACTGTTTCTCATTTCTGCAATTCCTTTGATTAAAGGACCGTGCAGAGGTAACAAATCCTATTGTTTGGGGTTTTTGTTTTGGTTTGGGTTTTTTTTCCTTGATTTTTATTTTTTATATAAACAACACAGGAGAAAAAAATACTATCATGAAGTCAAAAGTCAAACCAAATTAAAAGACGACAAAAAGAATTCATACTTTACTTCACGTCTATCCCCTATCAGTCATATCTTGTAAGGCTTATGATGCTTACACAGTTTCCTGTTGGTTAGAGTACTGTATTGTTTTATATAGAAGCACATGAAAGCCAGTTTTAGTCAAAAGTTCCTTTCATCCCCGTATCAAGTTTTCTCATTTAAAAAGAAAAAAATAAAATCATTGAAGTCCTGCAGACAAGACTCTGCCCATGAATAATCCTCAGGCCTGCAGAGCACAGAACTGCTGAAACACGGCCAGTATGTGATGGTCCAGTTCAGCTGTAAAGAGGAGGTTCTCTAGGGTCACCATGTACTGCTGGATTATCTGGTGATGCTGGCAAATAAAAAACAAAAACAAACCACAAACCTTTATTGTTTTAATTTATCTTTATATAAGAGCAAGCAGAGAAGTCAGGACATGTAAGAATCACAGGTCAAATGTTTTCATTAAAACTGTTAAGCATATCTTATTTCCACAACACAGCCACTGACAAGAAAGGCATACTACAGAGCCACTACTGATAGCGACAAGAAAGCACGAGTTGAAATCCTGTCTTGAGAAGCACTGTGCTCCCTGTAGCTCTTCACTACCGGACCCTGAATTGTGTGCACGATACCATGCAACTGCAGAGATATCCTAGGAAAATCATGCTATTTGCTTTCCTCCAAAGCCACATTTACTACTAGGGAAGGGTTCAGCCCAGGGGAAAATTACACCACCACTCCTGTTCTTCAACATTATCTTCTGCTCACACAAGTATAATTTTCTACTACTATCACTTTCATCCAGTCACCTGTGCTTCTTACCTGATTTAATAGAGCCAAGAATTCGAGAATGATTTTAATAGATATTTATGCATCTTATTAAAAGGAACTCTGCGATATTTTAATCCACTTATTTAAAAGACATCTATTTTAACATTATTGTTTGCTCCCAACTTTGCCCTTACTATAAACACACAGTTAAGAAGAGCCCAGCAAAATTCATAATCACATCTTGGTATCTTTTTGCAGTACAATTACAGCGTGGGAATTAATCAAGGACCAGTCACACCAGCAGTCTGCAGCAGATGTGGCCTGAACCAGAGTTACGACCTGAGCAGCACACCAGCCTTCAGAGATGTGCTGCTGCCACCTGCTGCTACTCTGATGGAGCGCTCAGTGCTTCGGCCACAAAACTTGTCTAACCAGCATGTCCCTTGCCCACAGCCTTTCCAAACAGAGAAATGAAACTTACCTGCAGGAAGATCTGCTGCAGCCTCTCTATACAGCTCTTGTACCAAGGTGTAAACACATCAATTCCACCAGTTTCACAGCGCACTAAGTGCTCAGTTAACAACATAATGAAACGCTGCAGGAGAGGGAAAAAAACCACCCAACTTATTCAGTCTTGTCAAACGAAAGCAGGATCCTAACCTCAGGTAAGAGGATTTGGGGGACAATCTTTGAACAGCAATGTGGGAACAATTATTTCACTACTGAA